CGGCCTTTATAGCCCTCCTGTTTCCTCAGGCTCGGATGATAAGGCGTGTTTATGTACACATATGCACACACTAGTGAGCTTGTCAATGAGTAGCCACTAGAGAGGAGGATTCCCCCCAGGAAGCTAAAGTAAACGTTGTGGCGTTAAGGGCTTTTCTCAGGCAAACTTGGGCTTTGTCGTGCACAGCATCAAACATCCCTTTAAAGACTTTGCACAGAAAATTTGTTAATCCTACCTAACCCTATTCAAGTTTTAAGAGTCAATCGACATCATGAAATGGAGATCTGGCTTTTGCAAAGAGTTAGCTCAAATCTTAAGAGGTGAGAAAAAACTTATAGCCCCCCCACATTCCCTTACAACCCCCAGCCGACGTTGCTACACGCAGGCTCAGAAGTCACGGCTCCAGACACAAACCTTATTTAACACGATTAGTCTCTTTGAGGATTTCTTACAGCAGACTCTTATATCCAGGATGAAAGAGTTTGCACTTCTGACAGAAGGGGTATCAAAAAAAAAAAAGCTTGGATACGCAGAAGCTACAGCGCGCAGCCTTTCACTGCGACATTCACCACGTTATTAAGAAGTGTATTGCTTTGTGCTGTGTTGCTCTCAACACCATCTGTAGCGAGCTGCTCAAGTGGTAGTAATTTTCCTCTAGTCTGGTTGTCTCTCGTGCGCCGTCACAAGTGAAATTCGATTGCGGATCTCGGCGTTCTAGCGCATTTAGTTTCTCATAAATGTTTGCATTCCAGGGTGATTGCTCCTTGGCAGCCACCAATATGCAAAAGAAGAAAAAAAAAAAGGTGGAGGTTCCGTCAGAGAATTAGATTTCCTGCTTTATTTTTTTTTCTTCTCAACTTTTAGAATATGGTAACAAAAGTCTTAATTTGTTCTGCTTTTAACCTTTAAAATAATCAAATCGCTTATATAGTAAAGCAGAATGGATTTCACTGGTAGAAGGATCGCATTATGAAAAAAATATGGAAGTTTACATATGGCTTCCATAACAACTTGATACAATCTGTTTTTAACAGGTTGTCCTTGCACACAGAGAGCACAACTGCTTTTAAAAGGGTCCACCGATGCCTCTGTTATAGCTGTGTAATATCAACCTAATAGGCTTACCTGTCAGCAGTGCATGAGACTTAGAAGCTGTAAATTACATTTGTCTGCAACACCTGCTCGCCTCCCTGCGTATTTATGGTTTTCTCCTCCCCCCCCCATGTCCTCTTGGTTTTTTGGCCTCCATCCAGAGTCAACCCCCTCTTCCCGCATTAGGTTCTTCAGTGTGTTACCGTCTTCTTGCGGGTTAAATGAGCGAGCAGGTGTTGTGTTGTCTGTAGGGTCGCCATGCACCCCGGCTTTGTAAAACATATTTTTGTTTTTTTTTCCTGAATATTAATATATGAGGCAGAGATAAAGCAGTTTGTGTCACATTTGAGTAATTTGTACATTTCCCTGAGCTTTTGAGTCTTGGCTTAAAGCTGTTTTGCTTGATCTCATCGTCCATGTTCATATGGAAAAGTGAATGTTTTTATACTTCAGTGTTAAAAACTGATTAGAAAGTGAAAGAAAGTGTATTTTTTTCAGTATGAGATATTACAGAGTGGTGTTAATGTTTAGATCATCAAAGCTCAGGACTAAACCTTCATGTTATCTGCTTTGTAGGGTATGTAGAGCTAAAGTTCGATCTATATTTTGGGGGCAACTGTCCCAAAAGAAAATCTGCTTTAATTTATATATTGTATTGCATCATATAAAGGTTTCTTACAACCATACAGATGTACCTAATTCATCTGACAGTTGGCCACATGAACCATAAATATTACATATCCAGTGTAGATAGTAATGTCACCACTTATTTCCTCTGAATGAAGGACTGCTGCAAAGTTAATAACTCGATGCACTTGGCTGTCATTTCCTTTCACAGAAAACTCTTACCTCAATGACATTATAATCTTAATAGACAGCCTTGTATTGCAATTACCATCAGTTTGAACTGTGCCATTAAATATAACCTCTCTTTGTTATTGTACCGTATTGCTATGATTTAGATTTTCTATGTGTATTTTGATGCGATTAAAAATGTTTGGACCCGTTTTTCTCATAAAGCATCTTGACTTGGTTTAGTTTATTTATTTATGGTAACAAAGGCGGCATGATTTAAAAATCCTATGACTACTTTATTGTTTAATATTGTTTGGCCCTGACATATCTGTGCCAGGAGTGGCCTTCCACTTTTTATTAGACCCGAACACGCTGCATTTTACATTGCCATGCAAAGCAGGAATTCATGACACCTGGAATATATTTGCTATGATTTTTGTTTTGCATTCCAAACAGTCCTTTGCAGTCTTGACAGAATAGTTTTAACTTTGAATCTTCGTTCAGTTTAAAAAAAATAAATATTTTTTTAAATGTATTTTACAGGGAGGACTCAATGTTTTTAGATTTTGAGTCAAAATACTTAAATATATTTCAGATTTTTTTTTTTTTACTGTTAAATTCCATTTCAGCACCTTGATGAAGCTAAAGTGGATCCTTATTTCAGCACCATTTCCAGCCATGGTTTAATGTTCATTAGCCTTTTTGTTCATTACTTAATCATATATTGTTTATTTTACCAAAATACTTTACCAAAAATAATCTGAAAGTCATGGCGTTATTTTTAAAATCCTCATTTAAGCATTGTGATTAATTACAACGAGCACTTTTATAAGCTTGTCTCTGTCAACACAAGGAAACTCAAAAACGACTTCTTTCTTTGCTTCAAAATAAGAGTATTTTTCAAGCTAAATTAAAGGATTTGCTGCATTTTCAGGACTTGATAACTTAGATATGCTTCCTCCAAAAAAAAAACACTTTTAAGACGACTGAAATGTGTTGAGGTGTGTTGTTGTTGTGGCCCGTGTACTGAGGTTTTAATCTTTGTGTCTTGGGTTTGAGTCCCAAACTGTTGACCGTAGCTGCACGTCTTTACCCTCTCTCCACTCCCTTTTCAAGTGTTTGAAACATTTTCTATAATGTTGGCTTGTTTTATAATTTAAAAAAGTATTATTTTACATCGACAAGTGCCTTAAATTTTAAATTAATCTGTCAAAAAAAAAATGTTTTTTCCTTCTGTGAGGAAAAAAACTTCATGACAAGCAGCTCATCTTATTTCAGAATAAAACTGTGGTCTCCTGATGACACAAAAAGACATTTCATCCAATCGCTACCCCATTTTTTTTTTTAGAAACACTGATTCACAATCTTTTAACAGCCAAACATGCCGATTCTGATTTCCAGATACAGATTTTCTTTTATAACTGACACTGTCAGTTGTTATAAGATTGCAAGACACGTGATATTTCTATCTTATCGTACTGAAAAAACATCAATAATTGACTGCGAAATAATAAAAACTTCCATGCAGAAATTGGGTTATTTTCAAACCTGTACGGAGGTAGATCAGACCGGTGGAAAGGATCGCTCAATTGATCAATTCACCCCTATTTTTTTTGTTTCTTTGTTTCTTTTTAGTAATTATTTCTCATTGTGAGATTAATTTGAAATGTGAAGTGTGTAGTTGCCATGTTAACATATGCCTTATTGGAAGGGACCTATGAGGACATTACATGAGTTCTGCATTTAAGTTCTTCTAAAGTTTAAAATAACCTGACCAGACAGAGTCGGCTTTGTTTTAGGTATTGTCACATGCCATGAAAAAGAAAGAAACAATGACAGTTCTCTCTGTTCTATCGGAGTATATTCAGACCCATTTATTTAATTACAACATTACGTAAAAGTTCATTTATTTAAATAACTTATATCATGGGAAACTCATTTTATATATTAATTAGACACAGACTGATTTGTTTAAGGCTTCATTTCTATTAATTATAACAATTTTCTGCTCAGCTAATGAAAACATGACATTTAGGATTCGAAATTATATCAGACCAAAAAAAAAACATTTTAGTTCAGTAATGTGGTATAAATTAAATGTATGTTTAACACCTGCTTGTGTCAATTTTTTTTTTTTTTATCAAAAAATACTTTTATTGTTGGAAATGAGTCTCATATGACACATGATCTTCTTTACAGAGTTTAACAGTAAAATCCTTAATTCACCTGTATTCTTCATCTTCTTGCTTATTACTTATTTTTCCCACTTAACCTCTTGGTCAACAAAGGACTGCACACATTCTTTTTGGAGTTTTGTCATTAATATTTGGCAACTGTTGTTTTTTTCTAAAATAAAAATATGAATTCAGGGTGATATTAGTTGTGTAAATTATTATTAAAAGTTATGATCTGTATATAGAATTTAAAAAGGACAGTGTTGGTTTTTACTCCATAATGGATCACTACTGTTTTCTTTACTAGCTATTATGGGGCGTAACACTAAAAGGAATTAAATAGTTGCTTCATTATGAAGCCAAAAACTGTAGTTTTTGTAGCAAAACTTTGTTTTAGAATATATTCAAGCAGGCTGCAAATGCTTTAATGGGCTAATCCCAAATCCTGTGTGGATGTGTGTTTTTAGCCTATGTTGGATTTGTGTGAGGAGTTAAGGAGGGGTCAGTGAAGCAGTGAGAAGAGACTATGAGGGTGTATTAAGGCAGCAGTGAATCTCACCGCTCTGTGTGTGTAATGGACTCAGGATGAGGGGCTGACCAAGCACCAGACGGCTGATAACCTTTGGGAAGGACATTGTTCCTGTGCATGGGGTGGGGTGGGGGGGTCTTCACACAGGTTTGCTGCAGTATATAGGCTACACAGGGCCAGTGTGATTGGTGGTGCAGTTGTTCTTTGGTTCATTGACTCTCCAGCAGGGTTAGGAGGTAGAGTAAATGGGGCAGTATAGCAAACTCCCTCATGGCTTCCTGCATACATTTTTCAACACCGCGGTGTGTTTCTCTGTGATACATTTGTCCTCTGTCTGAACCAGGTTCTCCCCGGCATTCCATTAAGGGGAAATTTAACAGCCTTTCTCTTCTGTCTTCCCTTTCCTTCAGATCTCCTCTTAAGGAGAGGTCAGCACCGGATTGTGCAGGAGGAATACATGAAGGGCGGGGCGGGGGAGGGGGTGCCAGCAGGAGCAGCACAAGCACCCCTGAGGTTACGCAGGTAAAAGGATATTTCTTTTATTTCACAGATCTTTGATTGTAGACGTTTCTTGTTCCAGTGCTTTACTCTGTGAAAGCGTAGTGAGGGGAGCGCTGGGACTGGTTTTGATTGGGCCGTCCGGCGCTGGTGGCTTTGGAGAAACTGGAAACTGAGTAGCAGACTGCAGCTGGTGTTTATAAGGGGCTGGGCAGAATCCTGCTTGGCTCTCTTGGAAAAGAAATCCAGCCAGACTCTACTAAGAATCCTGTGGCCAGTGTCAATACTTGGAAAAACCAACTGAAACATGATGAAATGATTCGGAATTTCTTTCCATTGTGTCCAGACAGGAAAAGAAAAATCTCACAAAACCTTTTTTTTGTTTTGTTTTGAGCAGCATCATTTTTGTTGTGAATGTCAGATTGTCATTATAGATTCAAAGGCGCTTAGATTAGAAAAGTTTGACCACACCAGCTGAGACCAAGGAGTACCGAGACCAAGACAAGGCCAAGTTCTTTAGAGGACAAGACCACTAATATATAAGGTCTTGGTCTCGGTACTCCTAGTCTTGACTATGAAATTAGTGAGATGTAGCTGGGAGAACATCTGCCCTCCATAAGCTTAAAAAGTCTGTTGGCTTGATCCTTAAATAATCATAATAAGGGTGAAGTCTCACTGATGGAGTTGGAGATTATAATGAAATTATCATTTTCTTCTGCTCTTCTGTCAGGATTAATGGTGAGTCTATGAGCAAAAGCAGGTTTCTTATTGGAAAGATCGCCAGTCCATAGCTGGGCAACATATTGAGATCCACTCATGCACACACTCAAAGCAATTTAAACTCATCATTCAATCTAACATGGAGAACATGGAGAGAACCCACACCCACAAAGGGAGAACATACAAACACCATGTAGAAAGATACTAGGCAGGATTCAAACCCCAAACTATGTCACGCTTCCAATCATAATTTTTTTTTTGAAAAGACTTAAATAATAATTGTTTTTATTTGTATCATTCTACCAAAAAAATAAAAAAACATTGAGAGGAAAGTAAATCCATCTTTCCACACCTTAGAGGTTGGCAATTAAGGCTCCCAGGTTTAATAACTCACTTTGTGTTTGGTATTTAAAGATGCATATCCTCCACCTATTAATTTGGGTTGTTTGGTAATTAGAATATGATCTGCATATTGGTGAAAGCATACAAGCAAATAAAATTTTACACATGAATAGCTTTGCATCTTTTATGGCCATCTACTCTGCATGTGTTTTAGTATGTTCAGACCCTTTGAAGATTAGACCTTTAAGCAAATACCAAAATAAATCAAAAACAGATAAAACCAATCAGCAAGGCTGAAACACACTTCAAAGACAGGTTTCACATTGTACCTAAACAAATACATTCAGGTACATCATGTACTGTCAAGAAAATAAAGGAAACTGCACTCTGTTACAACAAATGGCTTATTAGGGAAGTCTCGCTCTGAGTGTCTTTGTTCTAGATACCAATCCAAGTCATTTAGATCTGTGCAGGATATCGCTGCTACCTCTTGATTTATGAAAGGCCAAGATGTACCTTATCTTTGGGAGATCTAGAGGCTGCCTGTCATTTAACACTGCTTTTTTCTTGACATGGGCATGGTAAAGACTGTCTGTAGTGAAAGATTTATTTTCCTCTTACCTGATCCATTATTACAATAGCCACTCTAGAGGAAATTATTGACACTTTTGGAAGTGAGCATTGCTGCTGTGATTGATAAAGTTTAGGTTATTTCAAAATTAATTGTAAGCTAAATTTTGTGCTGTCAAAGATAATGTGATGAAACAAATTCTGCTCTTACCACCACTCAATTATTTTGCACTCACTGTTTTTCTGACAATAAAACAGAGGCAAACATAAATGAGAACAAGAGTTTTAAAATGTTAGCATGATCAAAACTATGATTTTCTTAGGTGTCTCATCTCCAGTTTCGGAAACAGCGAGGATGTTCAAAAGACAGGGATGTGTATTTTTATCTCTGCTGGTGCGATTCATTCTAGTTTCATCTTGCGGCCCATTTTTCACTTTTATAAGCTGGCTCTTTTCTTTGGGATTGTCTGCTGCAAACGATTTCTCACAAACAACCAGAGGTAAAAAGCCGTGTAGAGTGGGAGGATGAGAAAGAACGTTGTCTATTCCCTTCCAGCTTAGGGACAGAGCAGAGCAGGTTGAATGGGGATACTTTCTTTCTTTAACAATGTCTCACCCTGCCTAGGGGTTGTCCTTCCTTCTGTGGCTCAGTAGTTAAAACTTGACATTTCCCTGCATCATGTTGTTGCTCTACAACTCTAAAGTCCTTAAATTTTCAGTTCATCTTTTCACCTCTTTGCATAATAACTAAAAAAAATCCTCAAATGATTTCTCTAAAAGATTTATAGTTTTTGGATTAATTTTAGGTAGATAATGTATCGCAGAGCAACAATTTCTGCAGTATTTAGGAGACAAATACTGATGATGTACTATATTTTGGATGCGGTCTAGTTCTGCCCAAGGCCAGACTTTGTCTCACTCTATATCTGACATTTTCTTTACAAACCTTAATGCAATTTTCATGTTATTGTTTTCTTGTTATAAATCTTGCTAACGGCTTATTGTTTCAGGCTGTCTGCCTGACCATGAAAATGGCATTGTTCTTTGATTGGTTTCCTTGTCCTTAAACAGCTGGATATTCTTTCAACAAGACCTTATAAATGATTCCTGTTTGACCAGGTTCTATATGCTTTTTATATTCCTCTATTGTAGAAATATTTCTCTCTTGCTTTGCATCCAAAAGGATTAGGTAGGGAATACAACCTTGGCAGGATTGCACCTGAAATATTAAAATACACAACAACTGTGGGCATTTCTTTGAATAGAGGAATAGATTCCACCTGCAGAAAAACCTGAACTTTGGATACTCTGGACAGAAACAGAGTCATCAACAGAAGTATTCAAAGTGTCAGCTAAAGTCCTGATGTGAATCCTGCCAAAAATTCAGCGTAGATAGCTGAGATCTAGAATGATGCACTGAACCCTCTCAGAACTGGATAATTTTGCCACAAAAGAGAAGTTGTCCATAATTACCAGCAAGAAGGTAGTGAAAGGTTTATTAAACTAAAAGTAAAAAAAAAAAACCTTCCTACCATTTCTAGGTATTCAAGTACTGTGGTTTGTATAGAAGACGGTGGAGTAACTGACATAAAGTAGCAGTACAACCCCTCCCCTACGTGTTGCTGAGAACTGTTGGTTACGCTGGTGAAGCTTTTTTTTTTTGCGTGCAGAAACAACTAATTCTTGGGTTTGGAATCCCATCCCATCCTACATACATACATGCTCATGTAGTCTCCGTTGTAAATTGTATCTGTACCAGTTCCTCTTCTCAGTAGTAGGATGTGCCCAGGAAAACAGCATTTTGATTTTTTCATTAATTTGAAAAAAATAAACAACTCCATTGTCCTTGTTTTGCCCTTTATGTATTTTTTCAAATGTGTGTTTCTATAGGCATATTTTCGTCTAGCTAGTCATACTGGCACACTCTTAATGCCAGCTCATGAGTACAGGAGACATAATTAAAACAATTTACATCAAAACCTAAATCAGAATGATTTTGGAGTGAATTCTTAAATACAAATTGTCAAAAACCATGAAAGTCATGGATCAGTTTTAATGAATCCATATATTTCTTCAAATATTTATTATGACATCATAGCCTGCCGCCATCTTTGTGTACCATTTGGTCCATTATGTTATCCATCACTAGGTCTCCATGTCTGGCATTGTCAATTACCCAGAGGAAAACAACATTAGAGGCCTGAATGGGACACAGTGCTGTGGCAGGCCTGACATGGCTGTGTTATATGATTACACAACCTGTTGGCTGTCCGCCTGTCAAGTGTCTCCTGACTCTGATGAATGGATGTAATATGCTGCGCATCACAACATGCCATGCCACACGCTCATTAATGGCTCCTCATAATACAGAGGACGTTCCTCCAATGCCGAAGCTACACTTCCTGCGAGAGAAAGAGGGAAAGGTTGGGGAGAGGAAGGGGTGGTAGCTGTTGTGAGAAGGTGAGAAATGATGTTCATGAGTGCTCCAATCGGTTCCAGTAAACAAAAGAAACATGGTGCTGTCATCTGCATAAATTCACAAATTATAAGATGAAATGCCAGCATCAGTCTCCTGCAACTCCTGGTGAATGAATGCAAGATGAAAGAAGTGAATAAAAAGCACATGTTTGAATTATTATTCTCTGTAAGTGTGATGCATATGTTTCTTAATTAGACCCATTCTTGTCCATCTGCGACATATTTAAATTATGTGAAATGCGTGCAACACATCACCACTGTGTGGGAGCACCACAATAACAGTGCTGAAGAAAGGAGCCCAAATCTGTTGGATGCCATCTGAAGCTTAGCTGATTGCTCTTTCTCTCGCTGATTTAGGAAGGATACTACCCATGATCCTTCAGACTACTCCATGCTTGTCTTAAACAAATAGATCTGATTCTCTCCGAGTCATTATTGCGGGAGCTTTCAAAATATAACAGTGAAGACGTCTCTGCATGAGATGTTTTCAGAGCAGTCTGTGTGGGGAGGTGGTGTGTCGAGGAAATGTAATTACATGGAGGTATCTTTTAGCCGCAGTCCAGTGTCTTACCACATAGACCTTGGTGTTGGGTTTGAATGCTTAATAACTTATCTGATTGGGATCTTGATACACTAACCACAATCTGAGTCATCAAAGAAGTATAAACAGCAAATACACCACAGACACCACCACGTCATTATTTATAAAAATTGTAAGTATGTTAAATAAGTTCAGCCCACAACCAGAAATATGCATGCAATATAAAAAATTTCCACCTTTATAACAAAATATCCCAAATTTTGTAGTGAATAAATATTATTTTATGCTTCCTTAGGCCCAAGGGTACAGCTATCAGACTTTTATTGCATGTTTCTCTCCCCTGCTGATGTTAACCTGATGATCCTGACTTTAA